TTAGTTTTGAAAGGTGTGAAGCATAGCATCATCATTTAATGAAAAACTGCATAGCATTTTAGAAAGGTTCGCTTGATAATTTTTGAAAATTTTAGAAGTAGTTTCATGTTAATGTATGAAAGCGTGTTTTTTTTCTTCTTTATTACACCATAAAAATAATCAAATTTACATTTTCTTCTCATTAAGTAAGAACGTGTTTCACCAAAACGTAGCGAGTAAAGATTACAGGGCAAGTCTAGTCACAGTGAGCTGTATGAATTTGCTTCCCCGGACTAACGGTAACCATTAAGATTCGCATGTTTCTTACTTCTACAAAAGACTCACTTGTTGCTTCCTTCCATAAGATAACGGATTAACCATTAAGACTCAAATGGTGCTTCCTTCCACTAAAGCAGATTCATGTTTTAAACAAGACTATTTTGACGTAAGTACTGCTCAAAACAATCACTATGATCTGCCATTATTCACAAAGTTCATTCAAATGTTGTAATGAGTATGGATATATGCCTTAATTTACATATCAGAGGATATACGACCAAACATACGTCAAGTAATTTCTTATCTTCCCAAAAGTGGAACGCAGTCAACACACCATTGCTCAACTCTCGTGTAATCAATAATGAGCACATTTTACTTTATCACATGGCACCAAACAATTGAGAAATTTGCCTGTCAAAACGGGCTGTATTTTATTTGCAGCATGTAATACTTCCTTTCATCGCTCTTACCAGCAACCTAGTACATATTTTTTGGTTGACTGTCGAGCTATATCTCTGTCAAACCGCTTCAAATAGCTCTATATTAAGAGAGTTAAGAGAATGAAACAAAGATATGAATTTGTCATAGTGTACTAGTTGTTTCTCTTATCAACAATTATTCTTTGTAGAAATTTACCACTACAAGCAGGAAACAAGGGTCACGAAGGTGAAATCGTACGTGTTGTTTAATGGTTTAATTTGTAAAATGCACATAATTAAGAAATATTGAAGATATGCCGTAATTTACATATCAGAAGACCTTCAAGCATACGACAAGTAATTAGCAATTCCTAATCTTTGCAAAAAGTGGAACGCAGTCAACACACCGTTGCCCAACTCGTGTGTAGTCAAGAATGAGCACTTTTTTACTTTATCACATGGCACCATACAATTGAAAAAATTTGCCTGTCAAAACTAGCTGTATTTTATTCGCAGTATCAGTATGTAATACTTCTTTTCATCGCTCTTACCAAGATCCTAGTACATTATTTTCTCGTTGTGCTATCTTTGTCAAACCGCTTCACATAGCTTTTTATTAAGAGGGTTAAGAGAATGAAAAAAATATATGAATTTGTCATTGTGTACTAGTTGCTTCTCTTAACAGCAATTACTTTTCGTAGCAATAAATAGCCACTACAAGCAGGAAACAAGGGTCACGAAGGTGAAATCGTACGTGTTGTTTAATGGTTTAATTTGTAAAATGCACATAATTAAGAAATATTGAAGATATGCCGTAATTTACATATGAGAAGACCTTCAAGCATACGAAAAGTACTTAGGGATTCCTAATCTCCGGAAAAAGTGGAACGCAGTCAACACACCGTTGCTCAACTCCTGTGTAGTCAAGAATGAGCACTTTTTTACTTTATCACATGGCACCATACAATTGAAAAAATTTGCCTGTCAAAACTAGCTGTATTTTATTCGCAGTATCAGTATGTAATACTTCTTTTCATCGCTCTTACCAAGATCCTAGTACATTATTTTCTCGTCGTGCTATCTTTGTCAAACCGCTTCACATAGCTTTTTATTAAGATAGTTAAGAGAATGAAACAAAGATATGAATTTGTCATTGTGTACTAGTTGCTTCTCTTAACAGCAATTATTTTTTGTAGCTATAAATAGCCACTACAAGCAGGAAACAAGGGTCACGAAGGTGAAATCGTACGTGTTGTTTAAATCATTTGTAGAATGCATATTATTACGAAACATGCGCACAACATGCAAAGCTACAGTTTTTAGCACTCTGAGATGAGTCTAAATCGCTTAGGCTTTAGAATTTAGACATTGTTTAAACAAAATTCAATGAACAAAATTCAAATAATATTTTGCTTTTAATCAGTAATATTATTGTAGATAAATAGTTTCACGTGAAAAACAGACATTGCTCTAAGGTGATTTATTTTTACTTTTTACTCTCTTGACACTTTCTTTCGTGCAAAAATGTGGCACATCATACTGTCCAATATTCCATTTTATTGTCTTAAAACTTTCGATATTATCTGTACGCTCTCCTGCAATTATCAATTATCGTACCATTCAATAAAAAAGGCGCCACATCCAGACATAATGGCAATGGTGTCCACAAAGAAATGTTGTTATTTTAAGAGATAATACCATTTAAAGTATTGTATTGTTGTATGTATATTACTGCAGATTTTCAGCCGTGTTCTTTTGTTGTTATATTATTTACTTTTAATAACATTTTGTTAAGAGTATGTGCAACTAACTTATGTTTAACTTTACAAGGAGGAGACTTTGTGCATTGGAACTATTTTCTTTTATGTAAGAAACGTTGGAACTGGCGAGAGGGAGAGGGGTTCTACTGCAAAATTTGAGTATTTTAAATATTTATCTTAGTTGCCATCTGGTGTATTTAAACCCTAACATTAACTAAGTAACCAATAATTCTTTGCGGTGTAAAAAACGTTTCTATAAATAATTCTTGCTGGATAAAATTTATAGGTAACTTTGCACAGGTAAAGGAAGCCACAAAAAAAGTAAGGCTACCTAACTGGAAGATGGTCCTTTTTTAGCTGTCTCGATAATTTGAATTTTCTAAATTTTTTTCATAACTTTGCCACACTTTGCCTCCTCCACTATTGAAAACGTTCCAAAGTCCTTGCACCATCAATAGTTTCAATACCCATAGTTTGATAAGTATCAAATGTTTGAAAAGTCATTCTCTTCACTATGCTAATCCATACTATTGTTATTACTAATTCATTTAAAAGATTGGATAAAACAATATCATGAATTTGCTTTCCGCTTTGAACTTACTCATGCACCCAATTTAACCAGGCAATACACAGCATGAATAAGAACTGAACGACACTAAACAAAAATAAGGTACATCAAGTTTCATGTACATTTACCACAGTGAAATGATAATGTCTTTGGAAGTTTGTAAAATACTTTAATGGACGTCTTATATAAAAGAATATTCTATTTTGTGGATTCTAGCCAATGACTCCAGCCGATGTGGTCACGTGGGCGAACTTACTTGTGTGGTAAATCCCAAAAGACTGGTTGAAATGGTTACAACGATGATTGCGTAAAACGATAAACGAAAGGTCAAACGAGAACGTTCTATGCATATTACAAACAAACTTCATCGTCTTCAAGCACACGCCATGTGGGAATCAGAGTCTGTTGACGGCACGCCAGAAAGCAGACAATTTGTATGTTTAGTCAATTGTAATATCACAGATTTGTGACTGACAAAACGTCATCTCTATTAATTTTGTATTGGGCGCTTTGCCAGTGTTGAGAGCTTTTGTAATCTTGTGCCGCTTCATGAAAGAATCATTGATTGACATAGACCTCTCAGTATAAAATAAAGATTTAAATCCAACCTGAATGAGGCCTGCTTCCATTAATATAGCGATGAACGAAAGAAAGACGATGGATTGAGAATCATGATTGATTCCTTCCACAAAGCCACAGTATAAGGAATAAACATAGGTTCACTTTGATGTGCAACTTGCTGCTGTGGATATAATTAGATTAATGGCTGCCACTAGCCTGCCCAGCGCTTCTATTGATAAGGAAATGCAATTCACTGGCTGACGCTGAGCCAACTGTAGTGGTCAAATGCGTGATAAGATATGCGTGGCATAAAAATTTTTAATAGAGTGGCTCAACTGTATGTTCCATATACTGTACGTGCCTAATGTCACGCATAAAACAAGATAGTTTTTAGCTTAAGTACTGTTCAAGTTTAAAAACAAACACCATGATCTTGCATTGTTCTCACTATCATATAAATATAAAGTTATAAAAATATTGTGATATGGGACCAATTAGAACACTAATGTAAACATAATTAGAGAAATGATGACTTTGTTAATCAGTTTGATAAGCTTGTGTATTTTGTCGTGGGGTTAATTTTTTTGGAAAAAACACAAGCATGAAATTCTTTCCAATGACGTTTAGTCCTTCTTGGGGATCAACTACGGCTAAAAGATGCATACCAAAAATGACTTCTGATTTCAAAGATGAGCAGTTTTTTGAGACAGCCTGAGCCAGCAGTTTGAGCAGATTTGACACAGCCTGTATGTATAAAAACCTGGCAGGACCGTAGCTAGAGCGTTAATCGGGGGTGGGGGTAGTGTGTATTCATCTATTCAGTTGTGCCCAACTGATTTCTTCAGAAAGCAAAATCCCTTTCAAAAGTCAGTCATGCACAAGTGAAATAACCCTCCCCCCTCCTGTGAACGTTCTAGCTCCGACCCTGAAAACTGACGTTCAATATTCATATTTCAACATATGCTTCCATTTGTTCGCGTTAGTTTAAATTCATGAACACGAAGAACACAAACATCGCACTTCACAAAAAATCAAAAACATTTTGTAGTTTCATACGTCTATAAACCACAATTTGTTCTTTGATGAACCATGTTCATCTTGATAAAACATCATTCCAGATTTCCTTTACTATATTTGCTCAAATATTGGAAAGTTTTCAAACATATGGATTCGATCATTTCGCATGCGTATGGATTCGATCATTTCGAGGCTGTTTGGTATGGTACAACAATGTGTTCGCTACTCAAAAAAGTGGGCTGAGTGAAAGAACACAACGGTACTATCTTAATCCATTAAAAAGAACTTTAACGTGTGCACTGCATGTGCTGTGGGATTGTGAGCAATATACGTAGTGCTTGAACCAGGGAAATTTTGATTGGCGAGCCGCAGTACTTATGAAGTTTTAAGAAAAACTGAAAAAATAGAGAGCAATAGTCATTTTGCGAAAAATATATTGCTGATAATATATGAATACATACATGCATGACCGCAGTTATGAATCAAATTGCCTGTGCGAAGAATTTCGAAAAATCTAGCGTTGAACTGATGAACATGTAAAACTATTCATCTAAGTGCACAAGCATTCTTGCACATTCACATACAGGTGGGTTGCATGCTACGTCACAGCAGCCATGTTGGTGGGTCAAATACAAGAGAACATTGTATCAATACAGGAGATAGGTAGAACTGTGGAGATTGCTTGCAATTCCAAGAATATATTTACAATTTAAATGCTTGGCATATTTTGAGTTGATACTTCCCATTTTTGGCGCTCGCAAACACAACACTTTAAAAATAATATTATATAAACATGGTGGCAAAGTTCTGTTGGTAGCGTTTCTCTTTCTTTGCAATAACGAAGTATTTTTCAAACTTGCATTCCCCAGTTTACACATATGACTTGTGCAAATTAGCATAATACGGATGATGTTCTTTCTCCTCCGACGAGTCGCGGTCTTTTTCTGTAAAGTGTTCATCTATTGTCTTCTCTTTCATAATTAATTTCCCATTATTATGATTATTGGGTGAATTTTCAGGGAAACTAAAAACAAAAAATTACTTCTTCACGTCTATACGGTGAAGTCTCTCTTCGGGCTGTACGTTGTATTATTTCTATGGAGTTTAAATGAGGGATATATTCTCTATAGACTTTCGGGGAATTCTTGCTTCAGTAAATTCTCTCTCTCAATAAGCTACCCTATCAATCTCTATTTACAACAGGCTAATTTTCTCTCGATAAAACACCCAGTTAACTTTTTATTAAAGCGAGCATCGACAATGACTGTCAGCCACTCAACAAATTTTAATACTCTTAAGCAAAACAAGAGCCTGGTATATTCTGCCTACAAAATGTTGTACGACAAATACTGCCAAAAATTGATATTTATATCAAGTTATTTAGCGTTTAAACGGTAATTTATGTACTTGGAATGTAAATCATTCATTGAAGAACAAATAGATACAATAGATCAAACTGATAGAAAGTGATCCATTTTAAAATAAAATTGCTGATTACGTTTTAACTTTTTCAAAAATCTCTTAGTGTATGCCAAAGTGAAATGGGACAGCAATTGATATTTTCTAATCAGTAACAACTTTTAGACAAACTTACAAATTTACATCTGAATGCTTCGGCATTTCCGGTTTACGATCATTATGCATTTTCTCAATTTCGCTATCCTTTCTTCCTTTATTACCAAATCCTTTATCAAAACGGAATTTATCCTCCTCGCATTTTGATCTCTTGGTAAAGCGCAAAACTTTCGTGATCAGCCGGCGATGGAACTGGTGGTAAGGGAGAATTGCATTGAAATGGATCCATTTCTGGAGTCTTCACCTCGGATGGCGATAAATAGTCGTTCATTAGTTCACCTGTACCTCGAGGTACCCTTGACCCCTGTCGAAGAGATGAATGTTGAGCAACAAGAAGCATACAAACAGTGGCGTAGATTCTCCAAGATGGGGAAGGAAACAAGTTAAAAAGATAATTTTTTATGGAGAAGGCCTGAAAATATTTGATGGAATTCAAATGGAAGAGGGGGCATAAATATTTATGGAGATGCCTGCCCCCTCCAGAATCCCTTAGCGATGCCACAACACATACACGCCTATTTCCCGACATTAATAATTTCTATTTTAAGACACGACGCATATCAAGATACAACGTCAATTACACACCTCTGACGAAGTATAAAGCTCAATAATTTCGTCAAGCATTTCAATAAGTTCGAGAAACAAGAGGCAATGTAAATTACCAACCTCAGATGAAGTATGAAGTTCGATAATTTTGTCGAGGATTTTAACAAGTTCTGAAAATGTAGGCCTACAATCTTTATCCACATGCCAACATTTCATCATAAGTGTCGACCTGCATGAAATAAAGTAAATCTTAAACTGAGTGAATTAATATCGTACGATGAATTTTGATATAAATTCTTACATTTCTTCGGGACATGCATGAGGCGGTTCCATTCTATGCCCGCGCAAGAAAATCTGCAACCTCAGTTGGAGGAACATCAGGATAAGGTGTGCCACCTGTAAATAAACAAAATAGTCATGAAATCATTATTTCAATGATAACAAAAAATAAGAAAAACATTTGAACAGAAATCAAGCATCAAATCCAAATTAAATATTGTAGGTACTCAGTAGTTACCTAATGTGAACAATTCCCACAGTACAATACCAAATGACCAACTACATATAGAGGGAAAAAAAATTAGGCATGAAGTAGTGTGATAATTTGCCGAAAATTAACATGGTATTCAATGCATGGACTTCATTCACTTCACTATTCTACAACTTACACATCGCTCTTTTCGGTGAAGAGTCTTTGAATAATTGCCTCAATAGCCATCCATTTCACTGGTAGTAATCCCTGCCAAAGTACAGTAGGATCAAAACATCATGTATGAGAACAGAATAAAAGATACATATAAAGATTGTTGCTTTTAATGTTGCTACACAAAAATGATTACAAAACCCTAGTTGTGCAAGTTAATACTGTATCTGTTCAGAAAAATAAGCAAATCAATATACATTTTTACAAAACAGTATTTACTCACGGTGGAAGTCTTAATATATTGACTGTCTTCGCCCACATCACGGGCAAGACCAAAATCGGCGATTTTGATGACGTAGTTATCAGTAACTAATATATTCCTGGTTGCTAAACCCTGTGAATACACTAGAAAGGAAAGAGTTCGTAAGTAAAGTATATATCAATAACACTTTCAGATAAATTTATCTGAATAAACTTTCTTGAAGCAAGACGAACATATACTTACTAGTTAGCAAGAATGAAGAAAGACTATGAAGGAGAAACATACTACTACTAGTCTAAGACATGAAGAACATATACTTACTAGTCTCGAAGAATGAAGAGAACATATACTTACTAGTCTCAAGAAGGAGAACATAGACAGTCTTGAAGCAAAATGAAAGAGAACATATACTTACTAGTCTTGAAGCAAGAATGAGAACATATACTTACTAGTCTTGAAGCAAGAATGAAAGAGAACATATACTTACTAGTCTCAGAAGAATGAAGGAGAACATATACTTACTAGTCTCGAAGCAAGAATGAAGGAGAACATATACTTACTAGTCTTGAAGCAAGAATGAAGGAGAACATATACTTACTAGTCTCGAAGCAAGAATGAAGGAGAACATATACTTACTAGTCTCTGAAGCAAGAATGAAGGAGAACATATACTTACTAGTCTGAAGCAAGAATGAAGGAGAACATATACTTACTAGTCTCTGAAAAGGAGAACATATACTCTAGAAGAGAAAGGAACACATATACTAGTCTTGAAGCAAGATGAAGGAGAACATATACTTACTAGTCTCGAAGCAAGAATGAGAGAGAACATATACTTACTAGTCTCGAAGCAAGAATGAAAGAGAACATATACTTACTAGTCTTAGCAAGAATGAAGGAGAACATATACTTACTAGTCTCGAAGCAAGAATGAAGGAGAACATATACTTACTAGTCTCGAAGCAAGAATGAAGGAGAACATATACTTATTAGTCTCGAAGCAAGAATGAAGGAGAACATATACATACTAGTCTCGAAGCAAGAAACTCCATTCCTCTTGCAACTTGATAAGCAGCAATAACAAGGTCCGTCATCGTTAGTTGATTATTTGGATCTTTAGAAACACCTTTCCATTCCGTTTCATAGATTTCACGGCGATTTCTCAAAAATTGAAGCAGATTTCCATTTGAACAATACTCTATGATCACCCAGAGCTCACTTTCTCGACCTGAAAGATTGAAAGTTGGCCATAAAATGGCTACGCATTGAATCGAAAAGTTGAGCCTTTCATAACACCAAATACATAAAAAAATCTATAAATTTTAGTGAACCACATTACAAAAATAAATAATATAATACAAAAGACTCCATATTCAAAAAATAAAACATTGCAAGAAGTTCAGCGCATTCTAATCCTTAGTCAACAACATAAACTTAATCAATGCATATCTTAAATAACTTTAATGAATGAACATTGAAAAAGAGTAAAGACAGTTTTATAGACATACCTTTAGTACATGCACCCAATAAGTTTACGATATTCTTGTGTTCGCCAACATGGATGAGAATTTTTAACTCCGATAACAGATCTTTGTATTCCGTTTCGCCACTGTCCTCTGAAATGAATACTTTCCCAGTTATTTTATTGCACTGCATTAAGAATGACGTTATACCGATTGCCGTAATAATATTTGAAAGATCAAGCACAGAAAAAACGCGAGTGAAATTTGTTGGATGACGAGAAGAGAAAATTCTATAAAATCTAAAACCTTCACCAGAATTCTCAATATAAATATATATAATGTCTTCAAGATGTAAACACTGACGCATCATTTTAAATCAGTCAAAATTCCAACTTGCGGCCCGTTGACACGACCAAAATTAATATAACAAGTACGGTTTCTCAACAATGACTTTCTGCATAGTAAGTGAAAAATACCTTTAAGAGTTTTACGGCAACTTTGCCGTTTTGTTGTTGTTCACGTAATGATTTCGTCGAACGGGTCCACCAAAACGACGTCTAGTTGATTTTCTTTAGTGCTACCACGAGGATCAAACGCAACAATTCCCATTGCATCCGCCAAAAATACTTTGCCAAATGCACCGGAGCCAAGTTCTCGAGCTGCAAAAAATTTACAAACAATCTTCAATTTACAGAATGTTGATTATATAGTAAACTTTGCACTAGTACAACTAGCGTCTAAATACAAACGTGATTGTCCTAATAGCACTAATGGGGTCCGAAACAAATAAAAAAATTGCAGACCTTTAGCAAACAAACAACAAAATCTAGATATGTATTGCTTTGCAATAGACACCTCTTTCCAAGACCATTAAAATTTTGATCCCTCAACAGTGGTCTTTTCACTTGAGTTCCTAAACATTGAAACTCTTTCCTCAGGAATCAAACACCAAGCAGTTATACCTATTTTCTAAAGGTCCGCGTACACTCATGCCATATCGATGCACATAGTAGCGATAAAGCACACTTACCGAAGTTTAGTCTGTTTCTTGAAACTCCCATTCCGCATCATAAGGTAACTTGTTGGTTTGCTTCGTGATCGGTGTGTGGATCTAACTTTTGATGTAGTCAGTAAGTGGAGGCATGGTTAGAATGTAAAATCCTCCATGTTTCTTTCGTTTATAAAGAATAACGGCAACAACGACAACAAGGCTGAGAATAATAAAGAAACTAATACCACCAACAACCATGGGAGTTTTGTTAGAATCTGCCTTTAGTGGTGCTTTGATGGGTGACACATCGACGACGAAAGCTACAGGTGAACATTGCAAAGAGGAACGTAGGTAAGTTATATGCTCAATATTTTATTTATATTCTGTCGATATTCGGCGTGACAAGACCTGAGACTGGTTTTTCAATGATGGTTTTGCTCAAAGTGTTAATGACAAAAATTTTCAGCACACAGTTTTCTCAATTGACTTTAAACTTGAATGGCGTTAGTTTACTTCTATAGAAATTTAGAACCTTCTTTTCACTATAGTTAATTAGTACCACTGGGACATCAGATATATTATTATTTAAAGAAATAGTAGTTTTACTCCACAGTATGTAGTAAAATATCTTAACATTGCCATACTTATACACATATTCATCGAAACATGTATTCGTTAAACTGTTGTATTTTTAAACAAAATAAAACAAAGTTGGTGACAAAATTTTGTGTCATAAGCATTTTAACCTTGGATTAATTCAAAATTTTGTTTTAAATTCTGACGCGTATGGTGACATTCAAGTCGCCATTTCTTTTCTCTGTGCACAACAGCTTGTTTTTTGATTGGGAAAGGATAAAAATTGATAATAAATGAGAATTTCATGAATGGTTGCCACGAGAAAAACTTTTTTAGAAAAGATCAACAATGCAATAATGTGCAATGAAGTGACAACAGAAAGTGAAGAATAAAAAGATAGATAGACAAACCCAATTCATGGTCTTCCGAGGTGATATTTAGACCATTCTGCGCGTAACAACGATAAGTTCCACTGTTGCCTTCTTCGAAAGACGCAAAATACAACACATTACTTCTATTTTCAAAAGGACTGAAGTTCGATGTAGTATCATCAAATTTCGTCCACCAAACTGTAGGTTTAGGATTGCCATCAGCATCACAGAAGAGAGTAAACTCTAGGCTGATTTCTGGTTTAATCTCTGAAAATGGCTTAATAACTGGAGGAGCTGAAATTTAAGAAAATTACGTACTTATCTTTCCAACTAACAATTTGCTTTTGAAATAAGCCAATTGCTATAATAATATACAAGCGCATGCGTATTAAAGATTTCATCCTATTCTAACGAAAGCAAAATATTTACAAGTCGTCCGAATAAAGTATTGCAGTGAGATAAGTTTAAAAATTGTGAAAAGATATTTTCTATCAATGATTATTGATATTTTCGATAAATACACATAGTGCTCAAGACGTGATACCTCAAAGAGCATTAATGTAACATTTAACAACAGTTTAAATTTTTTAAAAAATACGTAAAACGCGATCGTAGCATTCTTACAACAAAAAAGTCATTCTTTAAATGTTTAGCTGCCAACAATTTATGAACCTACCAAGTATTTCCACTTTGGCCTTTGCTGTCTTATTGCCAAGAGAATTGCGAGCTGTACATGAAAACTCGCCTAAATGCTCTTTGTAATCAGCTTTACAAATCACCAGTACATCTGCTTTGGATTTCATATAAATCCCCGATCATACCCTCACATTGATCTGTTTTAGATATATCATTGCTTTTCTTAAATTTTATTACTTCGTCGTTTTTTTCCATTCGATTTCAGGAGGAGGATAACCGGATGCATGACAATCGATTTCAAAAGAAGAATCCTGTCTTTGTACAATATTGTTGAGGGAAACGTTTGGTGCCATCAATACTACAAGAGAAACACCAGATCATGATGGGAAAACTGTTCAAAACAAGAACAAGCGCGACCGTCAACCATGATAACCAGACACAAACAAGAATTAACTAGTGGTCTAGGGTATGAGCAGAGAATATAGTATTTACCTCGCACACTCAAAGTGATCGTCTCAACTACTAAAACTCCAGCGAAATGACCATAACATGTGTATGTACCACTATCACTGACGTTGACATTATCGATAAAAAGAGAATTGTATACGCTGTTATTTATTGATGTATTGACTATTTCCACTCGCGAACCAACGTAAATAGGTTTGTTGTTAAATGTCCAACTGATAAGAGTAGATGTTTGGGAAGTAACTTTACAAGACAACTTCGCCTTTTTCATTTCATCAACAAATACATGATGTTCAACTGCTTGCAATGGCTTAGAACCTAAACCATAAACGAAAATTATAAATTAACCTTCTTACTCGGGTTCATACGATTTAATTAAAACGAAAAACGGAAGAGAAAAAGAAAACGATCACTAATAAGCATTTTGCATGGGGTTGAAAAAAACTTCACTGATCAAATTAGATCGGTTAATGTCCTTGCGTGTGAACATGTATAGTCATGAACAGCGCGTATTCGTAAAATTACCATCACTGTGAGCAGACAACTCGGGCTCGGTCAAGTATTACTGCTATTTAGGTGTTTAAACGAATTAAACAGCTTAAATAAAGATGCTGATATAACCTTAGATACAAAAACTTATTGGGTTTTTATACACGAGACAGTATGACAAGTATCACCATACACAAATCATAATACCTTTTACTGGTACAACCTTCCATTGTTGATAAGCCCTTCCAAAAGTGTTTTCTACTGTGCATTGATAGAAATAATTCTTTACATTTTCCTCGAGTAGTATTAAAGTACTTTTAGTTGACGTTGTGATGATTTCATAGACATTTTCCTTGTTTGTGATCTCTTCCCAGTACGAGTTGTTTGGTTTACAGTTATCTTCAAAACACTGGGTAAACTGTCCTTCCCAAACAACCACAAATTTTTCGGGATTTCCTTTCTGTATATTGCAGATTAATCTTGTCTTAGTACGACTATCTTTGTAAACATGAACTGTTTTGATGCCTTTGGATTTATTTATAATCTTCGGTGCACCTGCGGGAAAATAGATGTATAAACACGTTTGGAAAACTTTTCGTTTCATTTTCCCAATCAATTTCATAATCTCTTTCTTGTTTTTTTTCAGCTAAGTAAATTCAAAATAAGTTTATCACAAGTAATTAGAGCTGTAAGGCAAACACAACATAAAAGGTGATTAGAATAATAACACAATAAGACACGTGAACTGATTGGTCTATATAGCTGCGTTTGCATTGGGCTGTGCAAAACAGATCTGAGCTCAAACATTTAAATCAATCAATCAAAGAGAACTTGATAATCAATCGTGAACACATTTTAGAGAAAAAATTAAAACGTTGGTTTTAAATTTGCCTTTTTCACATTATTGTTATTCAGTCTTGGGCTTGCACTGATCTGCTCTCGAGTTCTCCCAAAGGTCTCCTCAGTTTGCATAGGTATGTGCAAACACAGTAAACATCTTTTATTTCTTAAATGAATTGAAGTAATTAAAAGATTTTGTTTCTAAACATCATCCATAACAAAACCAAGGAACACATTTGTCTTTCGTTACATATAGAGTTAGAGATGGCGGTGAGCTGAGAGCAGTTTCGGTGAGTTAAACCTTTATACAAGACCTAATATGATGAGCAAAATATCATAATATCTGAGTACAAAGATTTTACAAATTTCACCAGAAAATCTGTACGTAACCTTACCCAAAATATTCAAAGCAAATGATTTAGAAACATTTCCCATCCTGTTCGTAACAACGCATTTGAAAGTTGCATTATCTTTTGGAAACGATAAACCATAGAAGTATATATAATCTCGTTCAAAATATAGGTCATCATATGTGTTTTTATTGGTTGTCGAGTTATACAACAGCTCTTCTTGACTGCCAACAATCTTCCACCATGTAATCGTAAGCTTTGGAAACCCTCTACTTTGTAAAACTTCTCAACATCATAACTGTACCTGGGATCAAAAGTGATCACGGGTTCCGGGAATTTAGAAATATTTGGCTTTGCAAAATCTGCAACGATAAATGAAAAAACAAACTATGATTGTTGTGAACAAATTTCATGTTATCCTAGTACTACTATGGCATTAGACCAGGCAACGATCAGGAGCGAAACTAGAACGCTAATTGGGAGGGGAGAAATTCATATATTCAGCTCTGCCCTGCTTATTTCTCGTTGTTGATTTTAATTTCAAAAGAAATCAGCGGGCTGAGCTGAATATATGAATATTTACCCTTCCCCAATTAGCGTTCTAGTTTCGCCTCTGGCAACGATAGCAAGTGACGAGGCAAAGATCACACTCTTCATAGCTTTGGTTATAGACTATGGAGGAGACAAGAGTGCAAATTTCCTTCTTTTCTTCAGATCGTTTTAAAAAAATTTTACAGATCTATAAAGACGTTGATTTCGCTCATGCAATGATTGCCCTTGACTGAAAGTCTGACATCCACAAGAAAACCTCTGTTCTTGATTTCTTGCAGTAATTAAGGCTATTTAACGAGTCACTTTTCTTTTAGCTTTTCTGATATTTGTGCTGCACCAGATAACATGGGGAAAACCTTTACGCATAAATCATACAATACCAGGCATTTTGATGTATTCCTCTGTGTATGCTGTCCATTTGACATAGTTTCTAGTTAGGTAACACACATATACTCCATCGTCATTTGTGTCAAAATTCTCTATGACTAAGTCTCGAATTGTCACAGTTTTATGCATTCGACCTTGGTTATATTGTCTCACGTAATCAGAGGCCTTCAGTTCTTTCCAGTCTTTTCTTGTTCCGTTTAGTTTGCTTTTGTACCATGTAAGATAAACGTAGCCAAAACTTTTACACCTTAGAACAACCTCTGTTTATATTCGACTGATGTGCGGCGAATAATGCTTGGTACAGGTCTTGCTAAGCCATCTGAAAAAGAAGAAATAATGATTTTCGTAAGCTGTGCTGAAATTTAATATATTGAAGAGTCCAAGTTCATGCTCGAAAATTAGTAAATTTATATCTTATTATAAACATCGAGATAAAATAGTGCATGCAGCTCCTTTCATTAAAAATTTTTGACTCGAGAACAACTGATCAATTTTTTCGAAATAAAAATCAAAAAGTTATTGAATCTTTCCATCGACTTTGACAAAACACACGCAACTTTGACAAATTTTAATTGCTTCGTCATTTTATCGTAAAAAGTTACGTAACTTCCAGGAAAATTACGGCTATTGCAAAAAGAATGAACGTACACTAGGGGACTGAATCCGAGGATTAATTAAGAAATAAAAGATGTTTACTGTGTTTGCACCATTGAGTTCTATGGTTTACATTACTGGTGGTTTGCACAGGCTTATGCAAACCGATGAGACCTTAGGGAGAACTCGATAGCAGATCAGCGCATGCTCGAGAGTTCTCACAAACGTGTCCAATGCAAAAAACACGAAATATATCTTATATTTCTTTTACAAAATAACAATGCAAAACAAATAAACTTAAAGCAAATGTCTAAATTTTTAAGCTCAGATCTGTTTTGGACTAATGCAAAACACAACTATGGCCAATCAGAGCATGCGTTTTATTGTGTCTATTTTATAAATCTTGTTGAAACTACAATGTCTGCAGAGTTTAAGCAGTTATAAAAACACATCGTTTTGGCATAGTTTGCGAAAACTAAATGACACTGCCTGATTTCCATATTGAAACTGGGTTCCTGGGATCCAGAAATTCAAGTGCGCTTTTTAGATCCGTTGTTTGATCCTTTACACTTTACATAGGTGTAAATAAACTTTACCCCAACACCAGAATCCAATCCACAACATCAGTTTAAATAAAGTACTGAAGAGTGTAGTTAAGTTGTACATGTCCGAGCTCGTGATTTTACGCTTCATAAAAAGAGAAGACAAAGTAATCAACAGTTGTCAGTTAATTTGAAATTGTGGCATAAAGTTGTTGAATGCTCGTTAGAGGCACCTAGCATATTGATATTGAGGACTATTTTTGAGATTGCTACATATATACACATGTGTAACATATAAATTTATAAATATGTATAAATATATTTGAAGATATTGACAAAACATACCAGTAGCGTAATGAACTGAAAGGACTGCTAAAGTCGACACATTTTCAGCTCGACATTCATAATCACCATCATTTGAGCGGTTTAATTTCACAATTCGAAATATTTGATTGAATTGCTGAAGATATATACCGTCAGGAATACGCCTTTTGAAAATAGAAGGTGTATGTGGTTTATACCAAAACGTGACGTTTACAGTTGGGTCACTAAGAGAGCAGTTGAAGTCGACCTCGTCATTTCTTTGTAATTTAAAAGCTTTGGATGTCTTCTGTAGCCATTCGTACGCTCCTATAATAGAACATTCAACTTGTATGAGTTACAATAAACTTAAAACGTTAATTTGCAGAGGATTTTCCATTAAATTTCGAAAAAAATAGTCGATTCCTAAATATTTATGAATGACGAACAATTGTTTTTATACAACTCGTCGTTTTCCTACATCCAGACCTTCGTTTTCTTACACCGATGAAGAGCAATATAGCAAAGACACAATTTAAAAAACAAACTCTATACTATAAAGAAATATTAATAAAACAGTTTCGCTTCATATATCCTTCCCTGTTCAATTGTCACATCAACAATAGAATGACGTAGAAAACATGTTAAGTTTTATCACTAGTCTATTATTGAGCACACTCTATGTGTCCGTTATTCAGAATGTTTTCCACGTCAACAAACGATAAGGATGCTAATTTTAACAATGATGTTCTAAATGCAGGCACGGACGAAGCACATACATAGTTGATGACCTTTAATGACTTTAAATTCCTCTTGCGATTCATATAATCGTGCGATCATCTCGCAGTAAGACCTGATGACATGGTTCACTTAAAGTTCTACCCATAACTCTTACGTCTACTGTTTTCATTCCACTGTTTAGTTGGTTTTTGAAAAAACAATGAACATTACAATATGGTGTGTAGGCTGTAAACCCAAGTGACCTTCAGACAAACTTTTAGCGAACTTTAAAAACGGAAGTTTTAAGTATTCCTCTTTATGCTATTCTCGATGTAAACAATCCTTTGTTATGCTTGTTTTCTAATGAAGAAAATTTAAAAGGAAAGTCAGTGCATAGATCGTGAAAACTGATAAGTTTCTACACTTCCTTTTTGAGTTCCAAGCCTCAATCAACACAACTAAGCACCATATTGTAAAGTATATTGCAAACGATGTAGAACCTGTTTTGTAACTAAAGCACCTAAAGCGAAAACAAGCCAATCACACAAGCACAACTGTTCATTTCAAAATATAATTACACTGCCGTTTTTTTCAAAAAGCATCATCTTGCTTTCAATTAAAATTAGGAAAAGCAGCTGCCTTTTAGCGTCTTGAAAATAGCGTCATTTTGTGTGATATTACCATGTAATTTTAGACAAATATTTGCTAGACTCGTGTCTTTACTTATCGGATAGTTATCACGGGCGACATAATTATACCATTCTATATAAAACTATTTAGATGGATACAAAATAATTTATCTGTTTGTACTTCGTGCTAGGGCGAAAATTGACCTGAACAAGTTGGTATTTTAAAAATACCTGCATATAAAAATGATTTTCGAAGAGATAGGAAATTCACATAAAGTTAACTAAGTCAACAAACATAAGCGGATGTGAACGCATTTTAAAACGAAAACGAGACATAGTATGGTTGGGTTTAACCATTTTTGTACTTATAAATATACAAATGTTTACAATTTACTCGCAAGCAACTAATGATTTTTAAGACAACCAGAAGCAGACACATTATTTTGATTCTGAGTTCTACTTGCATTATTCAAAACGCAATCACGACACGAATAATACTAACCCGTAAACACGGTAAAGGCATCGAACCGGATTCAGAGAATACAAACAAATTATTTGGTTTAAAACCAAGTCCATTCTACGCTATAACTTAAGCAACAGGGTGATAAACTAATCACTGTCGCTGGATTAAAATATTTAAAGTGTTTACAATAATTAAGAAAAGTCAGCAAGTTTTACATGACGGTATATTAAAGTCAATAAACGCACTTTAGAAATCGACAATGAATAGTCGGTGACCCAGCAGTTTCTGTTGCATTCAGTTTCATGTTACCTTTCCTATAAAATTTTCACTGACATACAATCCGAGTAAATCGTTATTTACTCTTAAAAGTAGAGAACTCACCACAATTTCGATAGCATATCACTAGTAAAATGAAACCTTTAATGACTACTGATGTTGGTGCCTTCATGATTCACAATTACTTTTTGTAAACAATATCCAGTAATTGCACGATCTGCCAGTTGTATTGTCTTGAAAAAACACGCTATGTAACTAAGAAGCGTAATTTTTTGCCTGAGTCACTGTGGCAATGGTGTCTATCGATTAATCAATCGCACACTATGATTCAACTATCTGAGTATCTTCGATTCAGGCGGAAATGAATAGGCCACATAATTCATTCAATATTCTAGTAGGCGTATGACGTCAACTGAGGTCCATTATTTGTGTCTAACATAAGTGTGCACCTTCTGGGTCCTCGGGCCTTTCATTGGGTACAAGGTTTCCTTAGAGAGACGAAGATAAGGGCATTTTCCTGTACGTTCTTCATCTGCATTTAGTCATGGTGCTGCGCCTTTTTATGACACAAATTATTCGCTAAAGAGCAAATTTTAATCATTACTTTAAAACATCTGTATGCTATGCAAAGAGTTCAATTAAATTTAGAGCGGTATTAATTCCAGAGTCGTATAGTCAGTTTGACGAAATGGATTGTTTATACACCTCAGTTCAAAAAAATTGTTTTTCTCCCAGCCAAATGATGCAAAAATCTATATAAAATTTTGCGAAAAACAATTATTTTCCATGTGTACAATTAACACGTCAAATTATTAATAACAAGAACAGAACAAGGAAATAATGGACGACATGGGAAGTTAAACAACAGGTTAATGCAAGCACAATAAGCTTGAAAACAAAATGACATAAAAGTAATACCTTCAAGCAATTAATGTAGCGGCTAAGCGTGAGGTACAACAGCAAAATATTTTTTTAATCGTACACTTTTAAGCAAGTTGAGATTGTCACTATAATTGAATAAGAATTTTCATGATATTACTACGCTAAGAGCAATGATTTATACATTTGACATTTTCTTCCCACGCTCAAAAAACATCCTTGTCTGTACATTAATCCTAAAAAAATCAAACACGAGTCGCAATTGAACTCAAGGGAAAAAAAGTTAATTATTTAACAAGGTCTGTTCTAAATCTCATTTCCGGGTGCAGAATATACATAATCAACTTCGACACGTAACAACGAAAGCCACTGTTTTCTGCTTTCTTCAATTCACACTTCACATAAAGAGCATGCGATTTTAATGTTTTCAAGATATGAAGAACCCTCGATAACCTAAAATATTTAATTCATTCTTGTGTAAAATATATCTTCATTATCGATGAAAGGATAATGAGCAAATTAACGTCTCTATTTATGATGTGGCTAAATCTTAGATATAGGCAACAGAGTGGGATGGCATTACTTGATGTTCACACACATTTCTTGTAAAAGTTTGGGAACGTAATAATTTCCACGATTCGTAGGATTTTTCAGTGAATTAGGCTATATAGCGTATGATTTTTAAAATTAATAACCTCATTAGATCTTGTCGGAATATTCTCATCATCCTTCATCACAAAAGATATTATCAATCAAAACACCTGCATAGCATCTGCTGTCATATGTAACTTAGTCTTTTTTCTGTAATGTGACGTACGTAATTGTTCTTTTTTGATGTTTGATAAGAAATCAGGTTTCAGATGGATGATGGTCGTGCATTCGGTCTTGCATCATGTAAAAGGAAATGGCGTGCACTGAGATTGTATAATTTATAAATGCACGGATAACATGGTATCAAAGATATTTTGATGACTTCAATATCAATTCATTGTCTCTTATTTAAACGAGATCTTGCAAAACAGACTGAAAGAGTCGTTTTATGAAGACGTGCATAGACTTGCCCAATCTTACATAATGAAAATGAATAAGCACAAAACACGGTTTCATTTCGCAATGAAGCATTCAAGTGCTTTTCCGTTGTACGCAAGAGGCTTTACGATATTCAGCACTGGTGGCACTGGCTTTTCTGCAATCGACACAAGATCATGTCAACAAAAGCTCTTAAAAACCCGAGAGTGTTCTTGACTTCATTAACAACTCTAAATGGAAAAATAACAAAAGTCACGTGTTTTTGAATATTGTGTGATACTCTTCTATTCCTTGCTTTAACATAGGCAATAAATGATGAAATTTGAATTTCACTAAACTGTATATCAACATTGATATACTGATTACTGGTGTATAAAACGACATATTTGTTCTTTACATAAATATCGTAAAAAAAATTTCAAATTACGATATGAATAAAAATTTACATATTTATACAGTACAAATCGAGATTAAAAGTTAGATCTCGTGAATAATAGTGACATCTCGTTTGAATATTATTTAACTGTATCGCTTATTTATCAAAATGACTTCAGTTTGCACAACATAGCCAGAAAGTCGCATTAACGTGATTAATGACACGTAAATTTGCCCTAGTAACTGAAGAGATTAATATTTTGTAATGTCCGTTTTAAAGTTATCTGTTGAACAAAAGAAGATCCCGTGGAGTAAATTTAGGTGCTATATTGTGGCTTGCCGTAGGTTACCTCCATAAAGTGCAGAGAAACTTGTCTGGAACTTCGATTTATCATTGACATAATTCAGTTAGTTAAGGAGTTAAAACGAATGTTCATATACTTGTGCATTTTCATGATCAACACCAATGCATCCTCAAAATCTTCCGTAAAAATCATTTTTGAATTGGAGGTTCTTCAGTAAAATGATTGATCCAGACATTCAGTAAGTACTCCCATTTCTGCTGTCTTAGCAAAGATAAAAAGTTTTGAATTTTCAACCCAAATTTTTGATTGATACATATTTAAAGTTAATTACATATTCAGTTTACAATATCATAGTTGGAGACGACGGCAAGCGGAATATTTATTGTTGTAACCAAACATATGCATCCAACATCGTTCCACATTTAAGATTTGATATTTGAGCTTCATATTCTATTTGATAGCTTAAAACAAAACATGGGCAGACAATGTTCTGTATGATTACATCCTTTTGTTTTACATCACTTTCGATACCACTCAAAAAAATAAGTTTCAGTATTCGTATTAATTTCATGTTTGTTGTTTTGATTCAAAAAGGACATCTATGTCTACACTAAAATGGAAAGAGTACTCTTAACCAATATTGAACTTCTACTCCTACCCTACTCCTACCTCTTTATACTTTGAACTCCAAACTCTTTAAAAATTTAGGATTGCAAGAAATTTGGGTTCATTTTGCTTCAGTATTGAATAATGCTTTTATTCATGGCAAGATTTGAGAGCTATTTTGAAATGTACATGTGTGAATAACCAAAATATCATAGTTTGCTGATACACTACAGGAAACACCTATAAACATACAAAGTAATATCCACATATATACATTTATACTACATGGTAAACATTCATGGACAAATTCATGATAAGCGTGTACCCAAGTCTAAACTCAGACTAAGATAACGTTCAAAAATTATATCCCCATAACAACGTGTTGAGAAAGTCAAATGAAGTTCAAGTTCAACATACATTTCGTTTAGCATAACCCGTTGAGCAATACTCCATTGTTTAATATAAATATAATATAGCGGAAGTGATAGGGTGTCTACCATGGTTCCCGACGCCATACTTCGTATCTTCGTATTCTTTATCAGGAAAACACACAATATATAGAAACTAGAAAGTTCCCTCGCATGCGGCTCTTCGACTGAGCCTCACCCCTTCTTTACCATTAATTGTCTTAGTCAATTAACAAAAATACCAAAAGACAATTACTTAATTATGGCTGCGTATTCCTAAAATTGTATGGAAAGATCGCCGACGTATGATTTCGTAAGTTGGGGGTTAATTCAATCTGAACATTGCTAGCATACGTATAAGAAAATACGTATGAAAACAGTCCACTATAAATCATTTTCCACTACTATTTTATTCAAACCAGACTCACTGCAGCATATGTATAGTAAATTCCATTGATCCACAATAGTTGTTACAGATAGATTACCACTTTACAACAATAATTTACTAAAATTTGAAAACAGAAAGGATTATTTCATAAAAAGGAAAGACACTTGGAATATCAAACAAATTACGTAGAAAACTGGCGTAGGACGTCGCTGGTGCGGTCAAATACACGGAAGGAAAGTCTGTAGGAAATGAATGTCAACGCATTTGGCTCACAACTCTTCCTCTGCAATGCTCTTCTTCGCAACAGCTCTTCACATGCTAATGTGTGACTTAAGTGACTTGGGTAGTATTTATGTCGTGGTAAGGCTAATTTGTTCGATCCACGAGAAATCACGCTTAAAGATTTTTTCCTAAAAATTATACGCTTTTTAATTTACAAATTAGCGAGGCGATAAACATATCTTTTAGAATGGTACCTATTGAAATCGTAAAATATTATTTGTTTGATGATATTGAATAAGATGTGACCTTAATTAGTCTGTGGTCCATAATCTTAAAATGCACTCCTCACATTGGGTACGTTGATCTTTTTCACCATCCAAGAAAGAAAATCAAACAGCAAAACACAATACTGAAGCTATTTTGGTGAAAAGTAGAGAAGTAAATCCAAACTCCTGTAATTTTGATAAGTGGAGGTCAAATCGAGTGTAAGTGCTTATCTGAATACACCCTTATATTGGTAGCCGTACCATTTAACCAAAACGTTGGGGCTGTCATGCATTTTTCCTTTTCCCTATTAAAAACAGTAAGCAGCGTTAAACCATGCAGATTAAAATAAATAACGAGGTGACACATTTTAGTCAACAGATCAATATATTGATCGTGACAAAAAATCATATGTAAAGTAAGGATCAGTTTGGGATGTCATAGTGTTGTCGTCTTGGTCGGGTACAGGAAGGAGATATACTAAAAAAACCCAATTAAATTCAACGTAATATTCTAAAATGTGTATTGCTCTTAAGGACAATAGATTTTTAGCGTATTGTAATACAAAGCATGTGAAAGTAAATCGTTGATATTTTTGGAAGTTCTCTGTTTCGATACATCCTATAGCTAACATTAATCAATCGGCAATACAAACTTGTATACTCTCCTGTCTGACCAGTCTTTGCTTCCATTCACAATAGTGGAATTGGAGTTAAAAGTAATACATAAAATTCATTCCTTGCTTGAATCTTTAAAAATTTTCCTCCATCTATATTTTCGATTCAATATATGTTAGAACAGTCAACATTAACACGAATATTTTTGAATTACAGGTCAAATAATTAATCAACTACAGTAATGTTTGTTCTGAA